CGGGGGGTAGCATGATCGGAATTTGCAGTTCGAGAACGCTGGGAGGGACGGGAACCCTGTCCATCCATTTATCAACAACCCCCTTACACATGGACTTTGTTGCTTCTCGAATTTTTTGCCCATAACTTTCCTGCCTGCTTGGAATGTTAGCTCCTGTCATTTCCTCCAGTCATACTAAACACACCCTCCTCTCCTCTTGCAGGCCCTCTGTGCGCTCGGTTTTTATGCCGAGGACCTTACCCCGGAAGAGTGGGTCGCTCTGGGCGGCGTTTTGATCCATCGGCAGGAGGTCCAGCGCGATGGGGGCCTCACAGTGCACTTGGGATGGGTGTACTGACACCAACGGCTCGATTTTGAGAGGCTTGAAGAGGGCAGCTGGCGGTTCAGCGGCACCTGGGAGACCGACGGCTACGCCGTCGGTGCCAAGAAGCGGAGGCCCAGCACCGACGTCCGCCCTGGCGACCCTCCGCCCCCTGCGCCAAAGGCGAAGCGCGGGCAAGAGCGCGGGCGAGATGGGGCGACGCAGGACCAGGGCCGCCGGATTACGAATGAGTCCTGCAGTTCAGTGGAGTCGGAACGGAATGGGGGCGCTGGGTGCACACACTGTTTGGTAAAGGCACATCTGTGTATATGGAAGCTGCCTGCCGGTGTTTTCCGATGCGGGAGGGGAGAGGGGGGTGGGGTTAAAGCTGCGTTGTCCTCCACCCAACCTCAGTGGTAGCCTCCACATCTCACACATCGTCCTCCCGGCATGCAAATTGTGCTATTCGTCTTTACAACTCGTCCCCCTTACCACCCACCCACCCACCCACACAGGCGTGAGGAGTTGCCGAGCAGGGACAAGATCTACATGACGTTGGGGATTGACCCAGGCCGCAAGGACTTCCTCACGGTGAAGGACATGCACAACAACCACGTGCGGTACACCGCCAAGCAGCACTATGCTGAGGCAGGGATTTACAAGTTCACCAGAAAGGTGGCGGCCTTGCAGGCCAGCGCCCCGGACTTCGTGAAGCGCGCCTACAAGTAGGGACGGGGTTATGCTGCGATCGCGCAAGTTTGTGGGTGGGCTCACCATGCCCATTGCATTCCCGTGGTCCCTGGCGCCGGTCATCGACCCACCTGACATCGCCACACCCCGCCCCCCCCCCCCCCACGGTGCCCCACGCGCAAAACAGCGAGTGGAGAGGCGCTGCTGCGGCGCGTGACGTACATGGCACCCACGCTCTGGGATGTCTTGGCATGGCACATGTCCCAGCCCTTCAGGCAACTGAGCTTCAACGCCCACGCCCGCCAGCAGCAGGCCCTGGTGAATCTGGCCAAACAGTTCCGCCCCCCGCCTGGGATGGTCACCATCGTCGGTGTTGGCGACTGGAGCGCTGACGATCGGGGGGGGATTATGCGGGGTCACCCGCCTGGCCCCTGGTTCGAGTTTGTGAAGTA